CCTTGTGCCAAATCGTAAAACCGCCTCTATTATCTTTGAGGAACGTTACGCGGCATAACCCTTTTTCAAGCGACAATTCGTCGCATTTGCCCCATCTCTGAACTCGTCCAATAAGCCTGTCACAATGGGGATCCAGATCCACATTTAATATTTGATTATTATCCGCTTACGTGGATAATAGCTGGTTTATTCCCAGGTTCTTATTATACTTCTACACTATTAAAGTTAAAGTTTAGATTTACTACAATCACAAAACTTTTTTTTATTTTCTTTTCCTTTTTTGTTTTTTTTTTACAGTTCTACAAGATCTGCCCAACTGCAATGTAACATGTGAGCTATCATTCATGAATTTTGTTGATTTACATACACGTGCATTCGCTTTATCTAACATAAATAATTCCGATATAAAATATATAACTAGGAAATTGCAGTCTCACAGAAAATCCCTGATTTTCATTGGTGTTTTCAAGAAAAAATTGCATAAATTTGCATTTAAATTCAAAAAAGTATCGGTTATGCCATAGTTGATTGTATTTTGGTTTTCTTTTGAATCCCTTTAATGGCTGCATTATAGGCGATAACAAAATTAATGCATACGTATAATTTTCTTATCAAGATTTTTGGTGTCCAAAATTTGAATATGCATTACCTTTATTTAAAAGAAAATATTAAAGGGAATATTAAAAGATAATTTCTTTTACTGTGTACTTTGATCATTTCCTTTTTTCTTTGTTTAATCATGCAAATAATACGTATTGTTCTGAAAAAAAACAAATATTTCCATCTCTGGTCAGGAGAGTAATAAATGGTTTAGCTCAATAATGAATGAAAATCTATGTATAAATACATGGATATCACATCTGTTCTGTTGAACACTCCTTAATCTATTGCACCTAACACTATTAACACTGGTAAATTATAAACTTAAAACATCCCAAAGTTATCAGTAAACTAGACTATTAATGGACGTGTCCATATTCTCTGTTACTCGTAATTGATTATCCTAATTCCTGTACAAATTGTATGAAATATCCTCTGACCGATAACGATAAAAAAAGTGTGCCATTGTCCATTCTGTTCATATACTCTTTAGTATCTAAAAAAAATCCAATGACATACGAATAAATCATGTCTTACAATAAAATTGACGTATCCGGTGATAATGGAGTTAATGGAGAGAATGGTAGTCATGGAACGGATGGCAATGGTCATCTACCTTTTATAGATAAAGATGGGCAACATGGCGGTGACGCGACGGAGCCAACACAGGGAAGAGATGGAGGAGGTAAGACATATGCACTATTTGATAATTAAAAATTGTGATTATTTAATTTAAATTAAGAATTAAAATAATCGTAACAGAAATTAACCTGCGACTGAAACTGAGAAGGTTCTATTTCATAGTTCAAATGATCTTCTATTTTCGTTTGTTCGACTCTGGTATATAACCTTCATTCAATATGCATAGGGGTTATATTGAAATTTCTGGCAGTTATTGGAATTCAAGATATGATGTCAAAATTGTTAATGAATCAATATTATCTGATGATTACGATTCAATTGACCTGAAAGGTAAGCTTTCGACTTTGTTTAAGTTATTATCAATTTATCAAATAACTTACGCAGACGTAATTTAACATGAATTCTAGCTCGTGGTGGAGATGGTGGACATGGTGGTTATGGAGGAAATGGAGGTAGGCATTTCTATTTCTATTTTTCTAAGAATGGAATGACGCATATTCAAATATGAATATTAAACAAACGTTTACTTGTATGGTAATAGGGAATGGTGGCACTGGTTATCACGGGACAAATGCTGTCAAGTAAGTATTTATTTTTATGAAGTTTATAATAAGGATTGTTGACTAATATCTGTCATTATTGAAGATATTTGCCTGCACTTGATGGAGGAAGAGGAGGTGAAGGCGGCGATGCAGGTAAGAACGTATCATTTTATCTCTGAGATAAGTATATATTTTCATGGTAATCTCAACGATAAAAATAACATCATAGGCGCGGGAACTAGGTTGGCTTTCTTTGTTCCAGTTCTTCAGTTTATGTAAATTTTTTTTATTTTTATTTGATCTATTGAAAAATTGTATTTCACAGCGGTGCAAATGGAGGAAAAGGTGGTAAAATTACCGTAAGCACATATGACACTGACTCTGAACTGTTATTGATGTGCAACTTAGATGTGGATGGAGGAAAAGGAGGTAAATATTATTAAATTTCATTAAGCTTTGACGAGTATAATTGATCTTATAATTACAATAATAATAACACAGGCAAAGCCGGAAAGCATGGCAGATCAGGTAAGTTGTGTGATTATTATCCTAGTTAAGCGTATTATTTCTTATGCACAACTATGACACCCTTAGGTAGAGGAGGAAGTGGTGGATTCGGTGGAATTGGATGTCAATATAAAGAATTAGGGTATAGAAGATCTGCTAAAAATATAAGGCCACACAAATTTAATATCTTGGTTTTCATTACATGAAGCTTTTAAATCTACCTGGCCGGTAGTGATCCAAATCGTTAGTTGAAAAACCAACTAGTTGTCAACTTTCCAACTAATCGATTTGGAAAATTTTGAAACAACTAGTTGATTAAATCATCAACTAGTCAAATTCTGAGATATTCCATTTATTCAGGCTGGTTCGTGTTGATTTCTTTAGTTTGATTGGCCAATTAACACATTTAGTCATATGAGGGGGTGTCAGTAGAAACCAAGCAATTTGTTTCTAAGTAAATTTTTTTAAAACTTTAAAGCAAAATATCTCAACAATTATTAAACCAAACTTGATAAATTTTTTTTTATTTTAATTCTATATAGTTATAGAATCAAAATAAAAAAAAAATTTACCAAGTTTGGTTTAATAGTTGTTGAGATATTTTAATTTAAAATTTTAAAAAATATACTAAAAACGAATTGCTTGGTTTCTACTGGCACCCCCCCCATATGATAGAAAAAAGTTGATTAGTTACAACTATACGTAGTTGGCAACTAATCGATTGGAAAAATTTTTACCAACTCGGAACACTACTGGCCGGCTTCTTTTTTTAAAAAAAATTTCATATATAAAAATTTTATAAAATTTTTTAAAAAAATTTCTTTAAAAACCCATCCGCTATTAAAACATATAAAAATTTTTTTTTACAAAATTTGACCCGGCCGGGTTATGAAAACCATTCAATTAATTTTGCATGGCTAGTTGTTAAAGAAAAGATTACAATAAACGCAAGCTTTCTCTAAAAATGGCATCTTAACCCTGATAGCTTTAACATTATGCAAGAGGGATTGGTTACTTATACGCCTCGTTCGAGACAAGGTACAAGCTTGATTCGGTAATATTTTGTATATAAGTCATTAATTAATCATTTGTTTATTTTACATTAGGCGGCCATCGAGGCTTTTACGGTAATTCAGGATGGAATCCATATTCGTGTTATCCTCTTTATGATGGAAATCCAGGAGGTGAGGGAGATAAACAGTATAAGATCATCAATAGGTAAAAATACCTTCTTTCCTTCTTTCTTTTTTTAAAAGAAATAGACTGTAAAGATATCTGATGAAAGTTTTATTTTCAGCCAAACTGGGAGAGTCGAAACTTACTATCAAGTTTTTAATTTAATGTTGCATGATTCTGCAATCCATTCTTCCACGGGAGTTTTTGAACCCGGCGCCCAAATTTACGTAGATAACTTGACGGTCCACAATACATCTATGATGCCTACACCAAGGCGTAAGTACCTCGTTCGTAGAAGCTTTTTATAAGTTACAAATAAAGTTATACGACGATTTCATTTTTAATTTAACTATATAGGAGATATCCACGTCACAATTAATGATAGTGAATGGATTTGTAAACAAAACCATGCTAAACTGCCGCACTTAATAAATCCACGTACTTCTCAAAGGGTTGATTACTATAAATCATTTTCATTTTTTATCAAGGATCATAATGTAAAAATTCCAGGTACGTGACGAAGGCTTTCTAATTTGATTTTGTATCTCTGATAATAACTTATTCAATAAAACATTAAAGAACCACCCCTTAGAAAAAGTGTCAAGATGTTTTTGACAGCGACAACGACAGGGACTAAAAAGACGCTTACAAACTTTGATACAAAAGGCCACCCTATTAAAGTTCAATATCCTATCGAATTCATCAGTATTTCAAATGTGAACAGCATGGTAACGTGCATTATTGCTATTATATATTTCTTACATATAGGTGTTTGTTTGGAAACGTATATTACACACATTATTGCGCATTACTTCTCTATAAGACTCTGGACTATTAATAGATAGATAAGGTTGCTACTAAACAAAACATTAAATTTTTCATGAAAAATAAATAATCTCAAATCTGATCTATCTATTAATATTTCGGAATAATGATACAAACGATATGAACCTTTAATATATATGATATGCACATCTAGATCTAGATGTTCAAAATGCGCTCCGCCTAAGTGTATCTGCCGAGATCTTTATAACCATATCTTAATTAAAAAATAATTTGCTTTAAAAAAATTTTTTTAAGGTTGCTGGCCAAGTATCTAAAGTCATTTGGAAGGTGAAAAATACGTCTAAGGTCGATTTTGGTGTCAAATCTAGAAACAACCGTTGCATTCGTATTAGATTGGCCAAAGTAGGCGGAAAAATTACATCTCGTTCATTCCTGTTCGGCTTACAAAAAGGTGTTGCTGTCATACCTCCAATGCAGACCTTGAAAACAGATTATATTATTGAAATTCCTTTATTAAGGGCTGGTGAACTGTTAGAGTTGGAAGGTACCTTAAAGTTAGGTAAAGCAGAGCTATTTGAAGGTGCAGAATTTAGGTTATATTTAGAACTTGGCAAGGTAGGATGTAAATCTTAGTCAAATTGCAAATGATACAGAAAAATTCGAAATATATTTGCTTGCAACCAGAAGAAAGCTAGAACTGGTTTATTAAATTTAAACTTTATTAGATTATGCATCCATGCACTAATTAAATTTTTTCAATGCTGGGGACTTATTCTTTTGGAAATGGCCATATAATATTCATGGATAGCTCATATAATTACCCAACAATGTATAGATCAAATGTGATAAATACTGTAACTATTATGAATACTAAAAAGATTACATTGATGTTGTTCTCAGATCACCGCTCCATCCTTACCAAAGGTCGTTCACATTGAATCTTTTGATATCAGAGTATCTACTTTCTACCGCGGCATCACTGCAGATTTTTATCCAGACGTACTACTCGTCACTAATCATAAAACGTGAGTAAAATGAGGAATGAATATGTTATTTTTACAAATTTCTAATAATTATTCTTATATTATTCATATATTATTATTAGAACACGCAATGAATATTTGGCATGGAAAAAATTAATAGAGCAGCAGCTCGGTTTCCGGTTCTCCGTGTGGGATATATCGCAAATGGGGCATTTTAATTTCATGAGAGACATATCCACAACTGAGCCTACCACATTGATGAAAGATTTTAACGGCAAGACAATAATTATATTGAACAACGAGTTTGAGTTTGGCAATAGAACTCAAAAGGTTAAAGCATTGCAAAATTTTGTGCTGAAAAATGAAGTATGTGATATGATATATATTCGACAGTCAGCTTGTTCATGAATTTACCTTCATATAAGAAATTAACTAAAAATTATAAACTACTGTGAATTTAGTTGCTTCAAGCGATAAATAAGAATGATAATAGGTTTATTTTTTTTTCTTTCACTGCTAGCTATCCGGAGATTTTCTCACCGTTTTCTTTGACTTAAATATATAATTGTCTATTAATAGATTTTATGTAGTTGATCCCAACAATGTCAAAAATGATTGCGCAATCGCATTGGAAGAGTTTCTAAAAGTGCCTTTTGATACATTGAAGCAGGACAAGCTTCAATTCAAACACGTTCGTAATTTTAGGAAACATTTGGAAAATAACACAATATCTTCCGACAATTTCTCCGCAATTGAAATACAAATTAAAGACAGGACACGAACAGACAAGAAAGTTGAAAAGATTAATAAAATATTGTCCTAATACCGAGTTTCATATAATCCACCAATCGAGCGATGAAGAAAAGAAAGATTGCTATATAACTGTTGTTCCATGTCATACAACTACAAAACGAAGGGTATGTTTCTGGTATATATAATAATTAAACATCAATTTATTGATTTTTTTTTTTATACAAAAGATTATCTTAGCGTCAGTTAGCGATGCACATTCGGATCCTGAAGAATTTATTTCTAAGCCGATTAATTTTAAGGGTGTTATTGCGAGCTTAGGAATTAATAATCAATTCCTTCTATTGAAAAAGGTTTTGACCTCCAAACTTACTGCAGAAATGACAGAAATATTAGAGGTCCTCAAGTTGCAGATCATTTATGATGTTGCTGTTGAGTTATCGACTATATGTGATGGAATTGGTTATAATTCTTCTCTTGGAGATTCTCAGGTACCAATTTCTATGTTAACGACAAATGTGAATTGGAGATGGAAGCTGTTTATCCGTTGCATATTTAAATTAACAGATATCCGGATATATTTGTTTACAATTTCATAATAAATTTTGTTATGGATACCATCTCAAACTTGAATTATAAGACACACAAGCGTAAATAACCTCTAACTATTTTTAGGTTCTTGAAATGATGGAAAACTTAAGATGTTTAGTTCTAAAAGTGGAATCATTAAGCAAGCGTTATAATGAGTCTAATACGATGTTTCCCGTCAAACATGACACACATTTAGGAAAATGGATGATGGGTAATTTTTTTTTGAAGCATTTCTTTACAACGTTTTTCAATCTTATTTATGCATTATTATTATTATTTCTATAGACATACTTTCTCGGCTATATGCATTTATTAAATGTCTCAGAGCGGGAATTCACCAATCAGTTCTACTTAACCGAAGAACTGCAAAAGTACAACAGCAAGCTATGGATCTTTTTCATCGAATAGGAGAAGCAGCGATCTCTAATTTTGTCGATACGAGGCTTTTAAATCAAGAACAGTCAACAGCTTCTGGAAATGAAGCGTTAATATGCGAAAATATGTTTACTTCTCGACCATGGATTCCATATAAACAATTATGTTCAAAGCGTAGAGAGATTATCAAATCATTTGAAGGAGAAGTTAAATCTCTACTTCATCAAAAGATTCAGATGCATTACATTAAACAAAAAAATGGTTTGTAGAAATTCTTATGATAAGTTTATTACAATAAAGGCATTTAATTTAAACATTCATCTTTAAATTTTTAAGACGCAAAATATGTTCTTGGAGGCATTTTTGACCCATTAAGAAAAGTCATGCGTAGAAATGCTATGGATGTCATTTTTAAACCTTATGAATCATTTGCTGATAATACATTGTATGGTCGTAACTTCGAGAAAAAAAGAGATGGGCAGGTTGGAGGTACAAGGAATATAATTATCATAGACGAAACTTATATAGAAAAAAGCAGAAAAAATAAGATAGAAACGCAGAAGATAAATAATTATACTTCTAAATTCCTTGAATTTAAAAGTAAAATGATAGTGAGTCAAGACAAAAATCATGTTTCATCTGAAGAAACAGCCTTAATATCAACTATAAAACTTATTAGCAAATATTATCATATTAAATATGATACGACACAATAAATTTTATATTAATAAATTCAAGAATATATTTAGAGCCTTTTATTTATATATGAAAGTGCTTCAAATTTGTTTGTAATGATTACAAAATTTTTAAAATCTTAAATCGACTCTGTATATTATAGTATCGGTATGGATATGTAGTAAATAACCCAATTATACACAGGTTCATATTCCGTGCCGAAGGCACGGGATTTAAATATGAACCCATGTGTGTAACTGGGTTATTTTCGTATCCATACAATAACTATCTTATTGCACGGTGTCTGGCGTAACAATCCCATGCAAATAAGTAAATGAAAAAGCATGGGTTGTCATATAAGACCCGTGCAATAAAACAATGCATTTATAACAAAATTTTAGATAAATTTGATTGATAGAGAGTACAGGAGTACTTAGATCACATATGGGAAAACGGAATAATTAACAATATGATGATTTTCAATTGTGCATAATCAATCATTTTTTCGCATCGCATAATTGAACAAAAAAGGCATAATGACTAATGACGTGCCGCGTACAATACTATTTGTCACTTACTTGCCTAGCTACCAATAGGTCCAATGTTACATATTATTACGACAGTACAAAAATGGAAGGTGTCTCGCTGTCACGTGATTCCCAGCTTTTCGACTACCTGTTAAGTGCTCAATGGAATCTTAGATAAACAGAGAAATAAACTACTAGTGCATATACTGTAAGTAATGGTAACTCAATTCTGATGATTTGACCCTTAATTCGCATTTGACTTGTGCAGTCGAGCTGCTAAACCTAGAGATGGGAAAATCGAGGTTTTTTTGAAACTACTGCGCAGCCTGCACAGCCTACACAACCTCAGTCCCTAGAGACTTTTACTCATTAGGTTTCGCGCTTATATATATAAAACATCTACTTCATATGTGTAAAGTTGGGCTCCTATCATTTTTAATTAATGCTCCAAGGTTAGTTTAAACGTCAGTTTTTGTAGTTTCTCTGCATATCGGTGAATTGATAATTCTGATCAAATTTGCAGATCATTTGGCCAGATCTAGAACAAAACAACTTTAAATGTGGTCAAATGATTTGCAAGTTTGACCAGAATTATTAACGATGGATTCTATTAATCAGGTGATGCAGATTATGGGGCTAGCAATGCCAGTTTAAAAAATTTCGCTCATTATGTGATCCTATTAAAAAAAATTTTGCTAAAAAAAAACACTTTTTGCAATTAGTTTAGGGTTAGGGTCCTACCAGTAAGTTAGTATTTGGTTTAAAGGGTTATAGTTATAGTAAAATTTCCCGAGGAAAACTTTTTGTTAGTACGCAGAAGGCACTTTCATATGCAAAATTTTAAGATATAAGCATTTTTTTATTATTTTAATTTTTTTGCACTTCTTTTATGTTACACCTGATCTCGAAATATGATTGGCTATCAAAATTTTTTAGATTGGTATTTTAAACACTGTTGATGCAGATAGCATGATTGAGGTTTGCTCCTATTGGTTGTTTAATTGTATCAGATCAGATGATCATCAGATAATTATACTAAATTATGATTGGTTAATTCGATAAAAAAATGAAAAAAAATCAAAACTTCAGGAGCCGATTTAGTGAACTAAAACTTTTTTAGTACGAAAGCACACAAACTTATTTGTATACTTTTGTTACTTTATTTTATATAAATGTTGGAGATCGCAGAAGATCGCATGTTTGAAAAAGTTTTATTAAAAGTAAAGACGAAGCAAAAATTACCAATGAAACACTGCCTTAAGTGCATTCACAAAGTTATTGTGTACTTCTGCTTCACTTTTTAGTTCCATTTTGTCTTCAGAACTACTTTCATCTGCTTGTGTAGGTTCTTGCCTCTCTTCAAGTTCCTTTTTAGTAAGCTTGTTTAAACCTTTTTCTAAGCATTCAATGAATTTTTTTACATTGTAATAGATACCTTTCTTATAGTATTCTTCGCAATGATGACAGTCATATTGTAATGTAGTATAACATCTGTGATGATATCCATGACCACAGGTTAAAACTTCTTCCTCATTTAATATTTTATAACAATGATCGCAAGTATTTGTTGAAGGTGGAAAACTTATACTAAATCCTATTGGTAAGCATTTTATGTTTACAACCTTGTTCAAAGAAGCCAAATAATATAATGAATATTTTTGTTTTTTGTAAAGTTTACTTTTTCCTTGATTCTTAAAAATTATATAAAAATAATCTAAAAGAAATGTTGCTGTTTTTTCTTTTAAGGCCATTAATGTTGAAATTAAATAAGGATAATTTTTTTTTTTTGAAAAAGTATTTCTTAATTCACTTTCATTTCGTGAGTCTTTTTTATTTAAAAAAAATAAAAAATAAAAATAATAATAATAAATAAATTTAGTTAAATTTATTATTAAAAAGTTAAAACTTTACCAATTACATAAGCTTCATCTATAATATTTTCTGCTGTAACATTATATGAAGTATTTGCACGTAGTTTACTGTGCATATTTTCAACAAAATAGTCATTAAAGTTTACTAGATATAACTTAATTGCTTCTACTAAAGGATGATTATTATCTTGCCAATAAAATATATCAGACAAAAATGCCAATGAAGCCTTATTGTAATTGTGTCTCTACCATCTTAAAGCAAAACTCCAGATCCGAAAAATTGATTCTAAATATTCATCAAATGAACCTGAATGAAAAAGTATAGCATAAATATTAAGTGCTATAGGAACTATATTATCTACTAAATCTATAATTATTTGATATTCAATATTCTTGCAAACAGAGCTAAATTTTGCTCTAACTATGTTTCGTACTAAACACCATCCCCCATATACTAATTCGAGAAGCAAATTAATATGTCATGGTTTTGGTTTCTTGGCCAATATCTTTTTTTCACTAAATACAAAGTGAAACATTTTATCAAAAAAAGGATAATATAAAAGTAAAATATGCTCCCTTATATTTAGTGATACATGTAAAGGACCCAAAATAGAAACAAATGAATTAATTGCTGACGGAATTAAATTATTGTTCATAGAAATAAAATTTGTAATTGCTTTTCATATGAATAACTGACCTGGCCAGTCTATTATAATAGATGCAACTCTGTTTACTAAGTGTTTGGTACTTTGATTAATATCAAAAACTAACTGAAGTGCCATAAGATAATCCTCCATTGAGTGTAAATTTTTTTCTCGTAGCTCAACTAAATGCACTGTTTTCATTGAACACTCTTCTTTACCTGCATTAATTGCATCATCATAAAAATGGACTGTTAACAAGTCAATTATATCAAAATTACTAAAATTTGAATTTCCATTCGAAAGCCATTGACTTTTTCGTATAGTATATGCAACGTCAAAGATCCCATGATAATTGTGTATTAACCGGAAACAAATATTTGCTGCATCAATGTTTAGAGAATTGTGAACCGACACATTATTAAAAACAATCGGTATAGGTGCACAATTTTCTATATGCTTACAAACACATGTGGCTATGTGTTTAATATTATGTAAAATTGTCATATCCAGCCTTCTTTTCTCATGTATATCATGATAATCATCCAAGTTATAGGTAAAAAAGTCATTAAACTTTTTTTTTTTTTAAAAAAAATTTTAATTTATAAGTTGCATATAATTGATAATTTATTAAAGACAAATTACTAATTATACATACATTATCAAGAAAAAATTGTCGAATTTTTTTAGGATGTTCCTGTGCAATTTTTTTTTATATTCATATACTGTCTGATAACATGCAGAAAATCCAATGCTATGCATTGTATTTATAGTGGAAAATGATGCTCCAGAAGCAGAAAGATATAATCCAACTTCTAATTTAAATCTATTAGCAAACTTGTTCTTTATTCTAGCCATAATATGATATAAGCCTATGATAGACTTTTTGGCTTCATTTTTATTATAAGTTGATTGTTTGTCTGAAAGTAAAATTGCTGTCAATTGATCAAAAAATCCACATTAACGGGAATCAGTTTGTTCAATTGTTTGCTGAAAACGAAGTGGATCTAGTTCCAAATCTACATTATTTTAATGTTGCTTATATAAAACACTTGTAAGTATTTTAACTTGTTCAGAAAATGTATTTTTTGTTAAATCAATATTTTCCTTATCAGTTTGTGTAAAAAAATTTGAATCTCCAACTTGAATACAGAAATCTTCATACTCAGTTTTATTAGAGAAGATATTTTGGATAGTATTCAATTCTTCATATTCATATAAAACAGGTGCAATATCTTTTTTTTTTTTTTTTTTTTTTGGTTTCGATCAACTTCAACAATATCCAAATAATGCTTAAAACAAAGTTCTTGACCTACTTTTAAGTATTGAAATTGTTCAAAAGTTCCTTTTTTTTTAGCTTTCTCATATGCAATAGGAGTAAGTTTGCAAAACTTAGTTGTATCATTATTACAATCGTGTATTGAACAGGGGCCAAAATATTTCGGAGGCATGATGTAGTTTAAGTTTCAATGTCTATTTTTTTTAAGCTATTAGCATGATCAATAAAAAAAAAAACATGTAATCAAAAATATAATAGTAGCAAATATTTTTAATTAAAATATAGTTTCATCTAATAAAATTTTATTATAAAAAAGCTTAACATTGATAGTACTTGATTGCAAAAGTACTAGTAACTTGTTCTTTGTAAAACTTAACCACAGCAAAGTTCAACTAATAGCAGAACTTGACCAACAGTGGGATTCAACCAACGCGAAACTAATCACAGCAAAACTTGAAATTTTGATTATAAAAAACTTGAACATTAGAGCATTGCTGCAATAAAGCTAATTACAGTAAAATGGTGGCTACTAAAACTTACAGTAATATAAAACTTTACTGCGAAGAATAAATTTTGATCAAAAAAACAATTTTTTTTTTACTTATATAGAATTTAAATAGCCAATCATTATTTAAAAAATTAGGATCATCTGATTGCATACACGTAGCCAATAAAAACAAACTTCAACTATGCTGATGCAGATTAACTGATTTCCGATTGGTAATTCAAACCTGGATTATAAAGCTGGCCAGAATTATGTCAGCTGGCCAGAATTATGAAAATTGCCTCAAAAAATGCTGCGTAATGTCCAACATGGGTAAAATCACTACCCTAAAAAGTTTCAAAACCAATCAAATCTCAAGATCAGGTGTAATGTAACACGAATAGAAAATTCAAAACAAATGTTCGTTTTGTCAAAAAATGTTTATAACCCAAGATTTCGTCTATGAAACTGTCTTCTGCGCATTAATTAAAAGTTTTCCTTGTGATATTTTGATATAGTCAATGATTTTAGATACCAATCTAATGGCAAAATCCAAACCCTAACTTAAAAAAATGAAATTTTACTTGAAACTTTTTAGAATGGTGATTCTACCCTTGTTCAGTGTCCCATCTCTAGCTAAACCCAAAAAATAGTCAGGCAAATACTGCCATCTTGATGTTGCATCTGACTTGTACAGTCACGCTGCCACAAATATTTTCTATTCAATTGGTAGGCCAAACTGCTACTGACCCTTACTTAAACTATTAGAGTAGCACAGCGAAGCAAAAAAGACAACAAACTGATTAAACATGACAGCTATAAATACTAATATATAACATATATAAGGTGTAACCTTTACCTATTAGTGTGTTACCACACGTGCTCAACAACTAATCTATCAGGTGTAAGTCTATGGACACCTACAAATTCACGTGAATACTTACCAATTCAGGTAATTTTTGTACCTACTTACCTACCTTAACTTAGGGTAGGTACAAATTCACATGAGCTGGTAGGTATCTGTAGATTTACTCATCTATCAGACTATAGTGATGTATTTTGTACATCACTAATTGGTTCGTGACAAAAGGGTTACTCGTGGCTTTGTCTTGAGTAGTCTTCATATGTACTATACGTGAAAATTTTTGCTGATTCTTTCTACTAGCCAATCAAATTGCTAGATATGCACTGTTGTAATAAGTTAGAAATTTTAAATTTCCTATTGTAAATAAAAATTCAAATTATCTGGCAGACTCATATAATTATGACACAGCATCACCTTGATATTTTTTAACTAATTTTGACATAATACCAAATATTCAAATTTGGCACAAAAATTGTAGACAATCAATCAAATGTAATAATATTGACTATTTTAATAATACATTAAAATAAATAAAATTTGCATATTTTATTTTATTTTTTTTGCTTAATGCTAAATATTTATTATTTTTCAATTTTAGACAGCTAAAAATAAAAAACACAATTATTAAAAATATTTTTAGTGAGAAATTTTTTAATAAATTTATTTCAATTTTTTTACTATTTTGTGTATTTTCATGAAGGTTATTTTGCAATTCAACTTCATCTAACACATTTTGTATTTATGGCAGTAGTTTGGTTGTAGCTGCTAGTCTCAGTGGTTTGATTGTGGTTGTTGATTCTGGTAGTTTAGTTGTGATTGCTGATTCTGGTGATTTATAAATTATAGTTGCTAATTTTAGTAATTTATCAATTATAGTTGCTCCTAGTAGTTCATTGTTATTAATAATTGAAGATATTTCAAGATTATTAATATTGCTTGCAAGTTTATTTTCTAATAAAAAATAAAAAAAAATTAAATTAAAAATTTAAAATATTTAAATTTATATTTAAATAAATATTTTTTAATAATCTTTTTTTGTTATTTACAAATGTCAATACTCTTAAAAATTCATTGAAATCTTCTTGCTGCATGATAATCTTCAGTTATTTATATATAATCAGATCTTTTTGTAACTTATATCCTATGATTGATATAATTATAGTATTAGAATAATTAAGTTCTTTTAGTACTTAAATCACAATTTTCTTTTCAAATAGTTATATATACTTTAACTATTAAATTGTATATTTGTAGATTTACAAATAGCCTAAAAGTATGTTATTAATTTTTTTTCAAATATATATCCATAGTATCACTGATCATTAAATTCAACTTAGAAACAAAAAATATTAGTACTAATATATTAAAAAATTTTAGAAATTGAAATAATAATTATTTGTATTTATCAGAACTGAACTCAAATAAAAATTTGTTATCTTTGCAATTAAATACTTAACAAAATAAAACTTATAATCATTGATTATACTCTTGATATTTAGTAAATTAATAATCTTAGCTTACTTGTCATATTCTTTAAACTTTTATTAGTGCATTTTTAATTAATATACTTTTACATCATTTCTTTTGTCACCTCTTTTTACAAAATTATTAATCTAAAGTTTTTGATATTACCATTTTGCAGAGTCAAAAGAATTGAATTATAAAAAAAATATATTTCAACAATTCTTATGGATTATTACACTATATAGTATAATAAGAAAGAATTTGCTTAACTTCTTGTAAGATTAAAGCATCTGACTTATTATTATATTTATTTAAATCTTTTACTAATAAATTTTTTAACTTGTTATTAATAATGATATTTAAATCAAAATAGACCTTTAGATTAAGAATCTTTATAGGCTTTAATATTATAGAATATTAGTTTAGATTCATAAAATTGCAACTATACAGTTTTGAATTGAAAAAGCATGATATTTATCACTATCCTTTTATTTCATAAACATAATAAATTTGATAATTAGTTTTTAAAGATTTCTTTCAAATCGATATCTTTAATTTTATCTAAATATTCTATAATAAAATAAAATTTTTTAAAAACTTTAATCTAAACTTCTGTAGTTTTATTCATTAATTTTAATCTTAAGTTTTTACAAACAGTTTTAAGAAAGTATAAACACAAATCACTAACTCTTTCTGATGATCACTTGTACCAAATTTTTGCTGCAAACATTTGATTTTTACTCAATATTTTATTAAGTAAACTGCTTTTGAATGTCTAAGTAAAGTTGTTTCTAACACATTTTATACTTAGGCGACCAAGTTTTATATCTCTAAATTTCTTTTCAACAGAGATATATTTAACAAATTAAAAAACACTTCTATTCATGTTATCTCAATATTTTACTAGGTTAACTGTTCTGGTAACTTAGAACAAACTGAAAGAGCTTATTACCAGCTTCATTTTGATATATAAATCATCAAAAACGGCCTAAAATTGATTGATTTATCAAAAATTTCCTTTAAACTCTCTTACAAAACTTTGTATTTTATTTTTACAATTTTTTTTATTTTTTTGGGAGGCTGTCTCTGGTCTGCCCCATCTAAACTCACCCAAACAGGATTACAAATCAATATTACATTATTTGAACTAATCTATACTGTTTACAACTTTGTATTCTTATAATTTTATACAACTTTTTGTTCAATGTCAATCTTGACTTACAGATCTGCAAGTGTTACATACTCTGTGTAATTCTTATTTGGCACACCTGTGTTTGTCACATTCTCTTATTTGTCACATCTGTTATCCATCACACCCTTATCTGTCACATCTCTTATTTGTCACACCCCTATATCTTTTAGATCACATCATATCCAAGATTCTCATAATTTAATTTATTTTTATTTTTTAAGCAAAAATGCCAATTCTTATTAATGAAGACCCAGATTCTTATGATATCGACTACTACCATGGCAAATATAAAGACTGTCACAGTATAGAAATGATTGAAGGAAAACTTCAATCTTTATGGGTACTTCTTGCAGATGTCAATCCAACTACTTGTGATGCTTCTATTAAAAAACATTACTACTTTAAAGTTCCTTTACAACCTATTATTGTTACATGTCTCTGTAGAGCATATCATACTAGTTTTACTTCTAAATTTTAGAGAATTCCCCATTCTACATCTTTTGGTCAACCCACATCTCAAACTACATCTACTATGTCTGCAAAACGATTTACAAAAATTACTGATGAATTGCCTCCTTCACCTAATTCTAAACAACAATAACTGGATATCTTCTTAACTAAATCTTACATTTTATTTTCTGACTTTCAAATTGACCCTACTCAACTACAATTATTGCACACACTCAACATTATCATACATGCTTTATATATAGAATTAAAAACATTCCTTGTATCGCAACTGAATAAAGCAGTCATGTTCCAGATTATTCTATTTGCATTATTTTTAAAAATAATTTATTATATAGGCTCTGTGTCCCAGGCCTATTAAATATTAAACTTAAACCTCTTATACAAACTTCATCTTTGATATTTCAATAACAAATAACCACAGCTACAATCAAATCAAAACCAATTAATCTAAATGCTCAAATTTTCTCTTCTATTTCTCCAAAACAAATCATTCCTCCTCTTATTCTCAAACAAAAAATTATTTTTGTCCTTATTAAACTTCAACAAATGAAATCTGCTGACAAAATCCAACTTTTTATTTCTTATTTCTCTAAAAAAAGAAAAAACAACAAATAACAAAAACAAAAGAAAAAAGAAAACCAAAGAGATACCAGTAATGATCTCGATTGGTTTAAAGAATACCCAGTAACCGACTCA